ATGTATATAAAGCAATGATCATCGACAACTCAGTCGAGTGACAAAATTACGAGTTCTGCTTTGCTAATAATACGCTCGCGCTTCCCGTCATTAATTACATCCCCATCCCCAGCGTCAGCATTTGTATCACGTGAAAGCAGCACCTCCGCCATAGTTTCGGAACAATATGACAATGATTTTCTAGATATTGTTTGATTCCAAGAACAGCTAATAATACAATAAATAATGACAAGTACTAAGGGCTATGCTGTTCAAATTGACTTTATTTTAAAAAACGACGTTTCGACTACTCCAAGGCAGTCCTTATCAAGTCAAATATTAAACAATAATCGCAGAGTGTCGTCAATGTGAGATGTTTATTCTACTCAACTGCGATATAGTCGGTAGATAGGAGTTACCACGTTATCATCTCACATTTCTATATGTGACAACAAGGCGTAACGACAGAGTAATATAAATCTTGTCAAGGAAGTGAAAAAAAAAACAAGAATAAGCATTACGTAGTACGGTAAAAAAAGTCCATTCCAGCGAGCATTGATGTATATGTAATATTTCGTAAGCGAATTGTGTCCTAGCCGCTCTTTTGCGCTTGTTAGTTAAAATAAATTGCTGGGTACTACGCCAACGACAATATCAATAAAATAGCGTGCGGGAGAGGTATAATAACGAGCGACAGCTTGCTGCCGCATCGAGATAATGGACTGTTGCCTTTTTTGCGTTTATCAATTTATTGCATCGTTACAATAATGCAGGTGTGCTTTTACATTGACGTTGAATTAGCGATATTTTGTTGGGAAGATATGTTACATATTTAATTACTTGAGTGCTTGATTATCATTTTGCGAGCCTCAAATGAGTGGATGGTTTGTCTACTTCCCTAACGATTTTGTTTAAACATTTATACAAGGTTTTGCTTGCAACTAAACTTTTCAGAATTTGTGTGGTGTTTTACACTGATTGTTTTACTAGAGTTGGTAATATGCATATTTGATTAACCATAATTACATTACTGTGTAAGCATACCAATAAAGTTTTTGCCGATGCAGTAAAGGTGACATTAAGCTTCTAGTGTGACTAACGTAAACATAATCATAAAAATAAAATTAAAAGATACTTTTTTTAAAACAAATTTACGACCAAAATGACCAAAAGATTTAAAAAAAAAAAAAACCAGGTCCCGCCGAGATTTGAACTCGGATCGCTGGATTCAAAGTCCAGAGTGCTAACCATTACACCACGGGACCGCTGGGAGAGGGGATCATAATGCCGTTGATAAAGTAGCGTCATGTTTTAGTCACTTTTCATTACATTTTCATTAATAAAATCGATGACTAAAATTTTAAATAATTTTAATATTTTATATTTTCACTATATTTTTTTTGACACTAAAGATATTACAATAAAATTATTGTAACAGCAATATTCAATTTTTTTTCTTCTAACCTTCAATGATATTCAGGTTTTATAATAATAATAGAAAAATTTGAATAATCCAAAAATATAACCAATTTTAAGCCATTATTTATATCATCGTAATAAAAATCCAATTTTATTGCTTATTTCTTTTTGTTTCAAATTCTTGAATAATCAAATCATCATCAATATATTCACGTTCAGAAAGAATATTTTAACCTTGCAATAGTTAATCTTGTAGTATTTTATCTTAGACTAACTATTGAAATTTCAATGATTAAAAAATACTACGTAAAAGTTGCATAGTAAAATTTAGGAAAAAAATAAACAATAATTTTTCAAGCGAGTAGCCAAAGTATGAAAAGTAAATCAGAGCATTCATCGATTTTGTCATCGACAGATTTTAAATGCTCAAAAAATCACGTAAAGCCATGCACAATATTCACTTATACATACACATATACGTACACGCAATATAATAAGCCCATGGCATGAACGTCCAACGGTGCGACCCTCCCGTTAAAATAATTCTCCCGTTCTGAATTGAAAAGCCTTGTCGTTCTCCCTCCCTCCTTTTTGCGCATGCAAGACTTTTTAAAAGTATCGACGCCGGCTATCTCTCCCCTTTTGTGGTTCTTCCGTCTCCCGTGTTTTTCTCGCTTCTAGCATAAGCCGTGCGTCGAGGCAACCCCTAATTGAACGGAAACCGGCAATAAATATTATGTCGCTCTGTTGCAGGGATGTACGCAGCGTGTAGGGCACGCTTGCACGTGTGTATGTTAGGTTCTGTGCTGAGGGGCCGATTTTATAATGGGGCACGAAATGATACCCGTAAACGCGACGATTTCGCTCTTCCGGAAGCGGATGTACAATCGTGTTCGCGAAAAGACAGAGCGATAAAATTTATTTTCTCTTGTGTCTTCCCGTTGTCACTCTATACGACTCATTTCTTCCTTACCTGAGTGCGTGAGCATTGTTGCTGCCCACCCTTCGCTTTTACTGTAGGGCAAAATTTAGATTTAAATCTCTTTGAATTCAATCGGTACCATAAACTTATTTATGGCATATGTTAAATTTAACTCACGTTTTTACTATAACTCATGCATAAATGACGGATCAAAAAAATTTCTTTTGCTGTATGAATTAGAATTAAAAAGTATCTGAAATAACAAAAGTTATAACTTCTGTTATTAAGTCATATAAAGTACGAACTATATTTGACTGCATGAACTTAACTAAATCGAATAGCGACGAATAATTTTCGAAACACTTTTCAACCATGTATCTTCACTATTTTCAACTGCAGTCGATCCTTTATTTTTCTTTGGCACAAAAATAAACTGAATAAAAATAATCTCAGCTCCATCATCACGCCTAACGATCTTTTACACGTATTCCTGTACAATCTCCTGATAATAAAGTTGCAGCAGTCCACAGCACCCTTCTTTATCAGTAACACCGTTACGCAGTTTTTCTTCATATTTTAATATATAAAATATCAAACGTACACACATAAAAGTTCACAGTGATGATGAAACTCCTGCACGTACGACGTAAGTGCATAAAATGCATAGTCTAAAAAGAGGGAGAAAGAAGTTTCAAGAATCAAACGGTAAACTCAGAGAGACTGTGGTGCGTGTCTTCAAAGATACAGAGGAGGAAGGGAGTCTCCTTTTCATGCTGTGCAATGTGCGTTGCGCCTCGTTTAGCATCAAAGACAGCGAGGCATACGTTAATTATTCGCCTTCCGTGTGAGCGTGATTATCATACGAGCATCCCTTGGCTGAAGGGAGTACGAGACTACTTTTCTCGACTTTTGCAGTGCACTGTGCGAGTTAATTTTTTGTTGGGTATGAGTGAGGTCACTGACTCTTCTTGTGTGAGTTCGATGTATAAAAAGTGATACCATTTTTATTTATCTACTGATGTAGGTGTTTTTCAAATTCTTTTCATCAGCAAAAAAATTAAATTCCTGAGTTATATTTTCTAACTAATATTTTCGTCAAATTAATGTTGGCATCCTTTTTATAGAAAAAGATGAGATATCTTACTCTCATTTATATATGCATGATTAAAGCTTACAAAGCTAAGAAAACGAAAAACAAACAAAAGTTACATTTCATAAAACTTTACCATCTTAAAGAGGAAATGCAGCTCCTAAACCGGTGACAGTTCCTAAAATAGCATTTTTAGTACTACATTATACCTATTATGTGAAAATACTCACACGTAGCTGGATTTTATCCACTGGCCTGAGACATCGTACTTAAATATCAACGTTGACAAAAACATTTCCTCCCAATAACCTTTGAGCTTTATTCCATCAAGCGATATCTATATCATATCTACATAAATACGTTCAAACGGTACTCGTTTCCCATACTATTTACTGATCATAAATATTCATCGCATATAGGTACAGAAGACGCGCACACGCAACCGTGCACTCGTTGCTGAAATGATCAAAACGATGGTCGTTGGCAACGACGAGAGAAACCCTCCACAACCAAAAGACCGATAAGGCCGGAAACGCCGAGAGGCTTTTCTCCAACGTAACTTGCATATTTCCAGTGTATGCCAACATACGCACATAAGTGAAAAATAAGGGTGGGAGAAGTATACTGTAAAGTGAATCTCATTAGTCATACATATCAGCGTGGCGCCACGCTATTCACCAATATATACTATATACAACTACGGGGCGTTACTTTGATGTCAAACGACGTACCCTGCGGCTTCGCTTCCGTACGACATATTTACAGAGCGAGTGATGAACGAGACAAAGAACACTAACTGATTCGTTATTAATAATGCAAGTGAGATATTTTTTTTTAATCATCAGCATGTAAACCGGAAGTTGGCCCTTGCTTTTTTCTCGCCGCGCAAATTAAGTGCTCGAGCATGCGTTCGAAAATCATCCTTTTGCTCTTCACCAATAACAAAGCTTATACAACTTCAAAGAGTAACTAAAAGAACTATACTCTGTCGAGCTATTGTCTAAAAGGACTACCTTTCAATTAAATTTGCTATCGTGAATGTGTCGTTTCACACGAGAAGGCGGAGTTCGATGAACTTATAGTGTTGATAACTGGGCTTCGATATTTAATTTGCTCCTTCTCTTTCTGGATTTTTAAAGTTTTTTCACAGCATATTATCGTAAAAATAATAGGTAATAGAACAATTTAAAGTGCTTTGTTGGCAGGAATATTTGTATTAACCTCGAATTTATTTGGAGACATTACGGCAGGAAAGAAATATACGTAGAGATGATGTAAACAATGACCGAAAAAGCGTCAGATATTAGTTTCATTTATTATTTTTACAGACTGATCACACAAATGTACAAATAAAAATTTTTTAATAAAATTTTATGCATCGTGTGATTTTTATGTAAAAATATATTGTTCAGTTAAATATGATTTTTAGTTTTCTTTTTTACTTTTAGTAAAAATAAAATACGGTTTCAAATAATTATATACACTTTACGTACTAAAAATCATGTGATTTCTGAATAAGCAAAGAAACTAATTACAAATCTGAGTTATAATTCTCTATACAAGCTAAATATATGATCATCATCCCGTCCATTAACATTTAATATTTTTTATTTCACCAATACAAAATTTTCTTGTTTACACAATCACACCTTAATTCAGAATATTCAAACCCTTAAATGCTTGAACCGAACCCACAGACCATCCTTGGCAACCCACGCAAAAGTGTTTGGATTCATCTTTATAGGCAAAGTCATCATAAGTGCCACTTCTAGCAAATAGTTCTTCAGTATCACTGCAGCAGCCATCTTTACTGTCATCATCGCCATTCTCTTTCCTATACAAACCCTTGGACCCTCTCCAAATGCCAAATACGAGTACTTATTCACTTTACTTCTTCTAGCTGGACTAAAGCGTTCTGGATCAAAGACTTGTGGGTCATGCCAAAACTCATCATCCATGTGAATACCCATTGCTGAGAGGACCACCAAACTCCCTGGCTTGAGGGTACATTTCAACCCATCCTTGCCCTGCATAGTGACCTCCTCATTGCATATTTTAATCAACTCACCGAGCCCCGGGTTTAGACGCATCACCTCGCACACCACTTGCTCCAAATATCTCATCTCTTTCACGGACTCGTACGTCAGTTTGTTGTTCCACTTTTTCAATACAGAATAAATCTCTTCGCGTGCCATCTCTTGAACGCTTGGATGCTCGGCAAGCCGATAGACTACGAAACTTAACACCGAGCTGGACGTTTCGTAGCCGTCGAAAAATATACTTGTAGCCTGGGCCAGTGCCATATCCTCGTCTATCTCGTGCATCCTGTCCACAATGAACTGCAGGAAATCGCTGTTACTTTCGTTCTTTTTCACGCGCGTCTTGATGATTGTTCTAATGATTTGTCTGAAATATAAATCGGTCTCTTTGGGCAACAGCCTTACACCGATCTTTGTAGCCAAACTTGGAAAGCAGAATCGCAAGGCGTTCTCCAAGCCATTGCTCATTCCCATGCCAAAGGCTCGTTTTGCTACTTCTGTGAAAGCGTCACGATCTGGATTATCCTTAAAACTCTGGCCTTCGATACCAAACGCAGCATTTGCCACCAGCTCTCCAGAGATTTTGACAGATAGATCCTTCAGTTCGAAGTCCACGATGCCAGACTTAATTTTTTCGTTCACGTAGACGGTGAACTCGTCGCACACTCTGCAGAGAATGGCGAACACGGAGCGTAGGGTCTTGCCAGAGAAGTTATTTCCTAGGATAGTTCTCGACTCCTTCCACAGCTCGTCCTTGGCAAAAAACGAATTCTTGTACAGGATGGGATCCAGATCTTTGTGGAGGGTTGACAGGTTGTTACGAAAGCTTGAGAAGTTGGTTTGCAGTATGGTCTTGATCAGTTCTGGATCACGGATCAACAAAGCGGGCTTTTGAACGAAGTAGCAGCCGAACATGCTATGCTTTCCCATGAGTTTATACATTCTTTCTGCCCACATAGCCATGTTCTCGCGAGCCATCAGAACAGTTAGGGCGTGTCCGACTCCTGGTATTGGTTTTGGTGCACATGGGATGTTCTGCTTCTTCCAATAGTTATAGTTTCTGATCAAGTACAAGTAGACACTGAGTAACACAGTGACGACGAAGAAAAGCGCTACGAGATACATGATCTTCGTGACAGATTTTTACGTACTTTAAATGCCACGATTAGATTTTTCGTAATGTGTGGAGGCTATTTATTTTGCAAGTTTTTGCATTTATTATTACTAAATATTTAGTTGAGGAATATTTTTAGAATAATGCAGAATAATACTTGACACCACACAAAAAATTATTGTAAACAACTAAAGATGCGTCTTGGAGTTATGTAAATTTAAAACTGTCTTTGCTTTCACAAGTCATACTCTCTTTCTCGTTCGTTCTCCCTCTATCTGTCTCCCTCCCTCTCTCTCTCTCTTATTATTCGTGAAAAATTACTAAGATAAGAACAGGAAAGTTCATGATTATGTAGCACTCTAGCTACATTTGCTTTTATCATTAATCGTACTTTTCACTTCATTTCAAAGAGTATCTTTCAAGCTTATTGTCGCACAATAATAGTTCATGTATATGGATGTGTCTTTACAAAATGTTAAAACCTGCAGGTTATATCTAAATTACTTTGTGCATTTTTCGTAAAGTAAAGATACTGCAAGTTAATTTTAGAAGTTACACTTCTATCGACTGTAGAAATATAACCAGCTTATAAAATAAAAAGTTGAAAATTCTAGACGTCAATGATTTTTACCTGCACTTAATCCATTGATCCGATACACTTTGAAATTTTTACAAAGCAACTCTCTTAAGCTAGCATCGAAGTAATAATATTAATTATAGCTGATACAAAAGATTCATCTTAGTTGGTAAAAATCATTTAGACCGTCATTTAGTCCGACGAGACAAATAAAAAGTATGAGACACAAAAATTTGTCTTGTAAAGTAAGCTAAGAGCCTTTTTGACATCAGAGCCTAAAACATAATGGCCTAACAATCAAAATGGATTATAAAATATCTCCGAGAGATACGCTGCTTTCCAAGGTATAAAATAGGTATTACCGGGCTATAACTGATATTAAGCTTCTTTGATTCTTTATTTTATTTTTTCAAATTTTCTTATTAAAAAAATATTTTAAAAAGTATGCCTCATCACAGTTACAACTGAATAAAAATATAATATTATCCACACATGACACTTGACGGTAAAGGATTATTCAGTACTTGGAAGAAATGTGTAATTTCCACTCACTAATACATCGTAAACTTTTTAATTACCTATTTCCTTCGTCAAACTTTTTTTTTACGACTGCCGCTGTTGATGAAAGAACAAAAAACGAGAATGCAATCAATGCACATAAGCGCATACGCCGTTTTCTCCCAAACCTATTTACTTTTTCGTTGGTTTCCTGCCTTCAGACCGAAAAGGGCATACGAGGGCGTCAATTTTTTACGAGCACTTCGTAAAATATAATCATTGGCAAGTAGATATATACATTTACGGAAACAGTAGACGGCCATTATGTCTTTGCAGTTATTTACTCCGAATCCTATACAATATGTTTGAGCTCACCTATATTGTACTCTTTTCTTACGGAAAAAATGTTGCAGAGATGGGAAGGTGATAAAGGACACATTAAGATAGTACCTGTGTATCTGTATAACATAACTGTAAATGACGTGCTTGCTAGTGTACATATAGTAAAGATAAATGCTCGCACAGCTATCAGCGAGTAAATTGGTATGGACAGAGTGAATCGTTCACATTTTTTATGCTTACCAACTGCGTGCTGTATTTTTCCTTTTTTTTGACTGTGAATCTTTTATCCGTACTGTTACGTAGGGAAGATATGTTTCTTGCTTACAAAAAGCTGTATTGTTGTTTGTATATTCAATATTATCAAAAAATATTAAATCGACATTTTCTTATTTTTGTATGAAACACCAAGTAGCATTTGCTTCAAATCTTATTAGCTTGATAGATTATCTCGATAAAGTATTAAAATTGTCAGACGAAAAATCCCAAGGCTATCCGAAAATTCCGAATAAAGAACGCTCTATACGATACCCACGTTACATACGTAAACTTAAGAACTTGCAGCGTCAAATCTTTATCTTTCCCTAAGTCTCTTTTCATCCGCCTGTTTTATTATCATAGTTATCATCGTTTGTGCGGGCAACTTAACAACCGACAGTCAATTAAGATATCGAGAAAATCATCCGCATCAGCCGCTACCTCCTCCTATCTCTTCAACTATAAACTCTCAACTCCGAAGGCGACAGGGGCATAACGAGGGGCCCGCGCGGCTCCTTCGATCGTTACCGGAACTTCATCAAGATGTGACAACGCCAGCGCGAAACTCTTGGGCTCGTAAAATACTTTCCCAATTTAAATTTGAGAGCGACGGACGTTGTGTGCATGTATGCGTGTTTATATTTGTGTATGTATGCGTTGTAGTATACGTGAAAGGATCCAAGTTTTAGCGGCGCGTAACGAGCGTCTGACGCTGTCGGTAACTCGAGACGATAAACTAGGTGCATATACATATCTGTTTGACATCCATATGGGGAAGTCAAGCACGCAGATATGGTTTCGTTGGTACATCCTCTTTTTCCGTACTCAAGCGTCTTTTGCAATTTTGCATCTCAAATAAAAAAAATTGCATTGAAATAATAAAACTTTCTAAATTCATTTTAAAATTAAAGCTTATTGAATTACTATGATACATTTACTTCGTTGTTTAGTATGAGTGAAATGTTCTCGAAGAGCATTTGTACAATGAAAACAAGTTGCTATTCACTAAAATAATGCACATGATAAATTGTAAGGGTTAAAATGGCTTTGAAAAACTACATACAGTAATGAAAAAAAAAAAAAAAAAATCAATCGTTCTCATATATTATATGATAACGATTGATTTTTTGTATATTATGCTTGCGCAGGTAACGACATCACTATCCTCTTAATTTTCTTAAAATTTAAGTCCTCAATAGTCATATTAATTCACGAAAACTTAGCACTTTGTTTTTTAGTATTAATCCTTTTGTTTATCAAGTTACATAAATGGGCCAACCAATTTTTTTCACACTATGAAATCTAGGGTTATTTAATTACAATAGCTCCATTGACTTATACCTTGTCTGTATTGAAATGAACGATGTATCCAGTTTTGAAGCACTCATGAATCTGCGTTCTTACGCATATTTAATCTACTTTAAAATTTTCACCTCGTTTGCGTTATTGTTACATTAATAGCGTGTTGCTTTTCAACAGAATTCAAAATTAAAAATTTTCTAAAAATATGTTTTCCTATCACTGTATCACATTAATACCAATTTCTAGCCACATAAAAAAAATGACCTCATAAATTCGTAATTAGTTATGAATTAAAGAAAAAAACAAATTGATCCCAAACTAAATTCTTAGTAGCCAACAATTAACAACGGACCAGCACAAATGTTTCTCCGTGAGCAGCTAACAAGCTTAGTTAGCTTTCTCTCTCGCGTTGTCTTATCCTTTTCCAGTAAAGTAAACAACGTTCGATCAAGAACTTGACTTAAGCACACATCTTTAAAGTTTGCCCCAACTTCATTGCATTCTCATCCATGGACCCTCTAACATATATATTTCGTCGTACACGGCATGTACACAACTAACGTTGAGTGCACCGTAAAGCTGATGTGTGTACTTTAACTACAGAACCCGGAAAAACAATACACTAAACTTCGTCTCCTTTTAAGATCTACAAATTTAGTGGTATCGGGTGAATCTCTCGATTGGATAACAAACATTTTATCGAGTTCTATTTCGTAGATGTGCACGGATGGATACGTACACCCACCCTTGGCATTAAACCTCAACTGCTCGGCTTCATTCCTCCATCCGAGCCGTCTTCGACGATAAATAACGTTATGCATACTACTTCTTTACTCGGCGTATAATAATGCGGAGAGTCATGTTATGTAGGTGCCTATACACGTCACGCGAAGAAAGAGAGACGAGGCAATTAAATAAAATGCGATACCAGCCCGAGTTATGGCCCGAATCTTTATAGTTTACGGGTGCGCGCGAGCTTATTCCTTAAATCCCGGGGCATAAAGCATTTCGCCTCATCTCTTACTGCGCTGCGTTTGCTTTATGTGTAAGTATATATGCGTGTACTGTCGCAAAAGAGCCTGCCAAACTCTTAGTGGCGCTACTGCTCGTGACAATGAAAATAAAATCTCGCTGGCTTGTCGTGTGTGCCTTTATTTATTTTGTTGTTGTTTTTTTTCTTTCTCTTTTACTGTGAGAGTGTCTTGAAACTAGATAGATTTTCATAATTCCTTTAAGGGTAAGTAAAAGAAGCTTTTATGTAGGGAAGTTGCTGGGGGACGAGTGTTGGCGTGGGGCAATGATGTGCCTCTTTAATTGTAGGCGGTTTAAGTTTCACAGCTTTTTTATTGCACAGTTTCGAGCTAGAGTTTGGATGTTTTAATAGAATTTTTTCATGTCGATGGATATAAGTATGTGTATTGTGCACTGAAACACTCGTTTCGTGTATAGGTATAATTTCTACGTGTGGAAGGGCTGGCAGCTGTATATTTTTCGTTTACTGAACATTTTTCAGCGCTGATACAAACTTTTTTGTATTTTGTTTTAAAAAAATGTATCTTTTGAATTATTATGTTTCCGTGTTCATTTTACATATACAGATACAAACCTTATCAAATAAATATCATTCTTATTCAACTAAATGCTACAAAACACAATCACAAAACGAGTTAAGCTATCATCGGATGTAATTTCAAATAAATACTGTCTTAGAAATCGCAATACTATTCGGCCACGAGTGACAAATAAATAATGATTATCTTTGGATTGTAAAAACATCAAACTGTCATAAAAACATTTGTTTAATACTTTTTAAGATGATACATTGAGTCTTAACAAGTACCTTTGTATTTACGTTTTGAGAGATTCACTCAAATAATACTTATATAATTAATAATGAAAGTTGGATTGATCAGATGGATTTCTATTTTACCAATCGACTGTTGCACCCTCTTAAATTTGCGAATAAAAATTTTACGAGCATGACTGAAACGGACTGCAGCGATAATAACAGAGCTTGAGTGACAAAACAAACGAAGAAGCGATCGGTGTGTGTGTGTGCAGGTTTTGTTGAAAAATA